TTAAATGCAAAAGTTATAGGATTTTTAAATATCTATTAGCGAGTAATAAATTTAAGTATACAGGGTCTGTTATAAAGTCGTGGCACATAAGAGTTTAATTTTTTTAAATAGGAATTAAAAAAAATGAAACTTTGATGTGCCATGACTTTATGACCGACCCTGTATACATAAATTTATTACTCGCCAATAGACATTTAAAAACCCTATAATTTTTGTATTCAACTTTTTGCGGTACCTTGTATATTTTACCTAATAATCGACCGGTTTTATACAAAAAAGCGACCCTGTATTTGTAAATACATGGTGTTTCATAACAGACCGTTTCCACAATTACTATTTACTAAAAATTAAAATAAAAATTCAAAATGTCAAAAATTAACACTGATTAATTATAGAAGAAAAAAAAAAGATAACAGACATACAAATCTATTTCGAAAAAAAATTCTCGAATTTTAAACTAAAAAAAAGTACCTCTTAAATCATGTAACGTAGGTAATAATTATATGAAACAATCCATACAAAACTTTAGTCAATTACGAAACAGCCTGTGTTAATATGAATTAGAACCATCCCCAAACAAGATTGTTTCACTGTATCACAGTTCATCGGTGGGGCTAGGTTGTAATCGATATTTTTTGTCAAAAAACTTTTTATTTTGTAAAAATTTATTAACACAAAATACACCAAAATGAAATTGAAAATGTATATGTAAAAAAATCACTTTTTCTATAATGATACTGTTAGAGAAGTGTACGTTTAATTTGTGTCGAAAGCATTATTTTTTAGTTTAACTTTTAGTACGGTTTATAAAATTAATTAAGCACATTTTTAGATCGATGTTGAGTTGGAACAGTATATTTTGTAAATAATTATTTTTTCTCAAAACAATTATTTGTTTTAATTTATTGTAGATTGTGCATCAGTGGTAAGTTACAACGGGACATTCGTTGAGAATGAATTAAATATCACATTGATCTTTAAAGAATTTCGAACTTCTAATGTCTTTATACATTTCAATTTACACAAAGATTTCACGTGTAAAGTTATCTAAGTCCTAAAACCACTGAGTTTATCTACTAGAGCAAGGCTTTCGCTCGTATCGCTATTGGGTGCCGTCAAGCGTGTGGCTGTGTACTGAGGATGGTACCTAAATACCATTGTTTGTAATATTTTAATGGTACTAGAAATTTCCATACATGCATTGCTAAAGATTTTACCAATGTGCTTAAAGAGGAAGGTGTTCCATCAGTGCGTTATGCCAGTACTTACATATGGCGCAGAGACACTGACGAAAAAGTCCATAGAAAAAATCCGTATAGCCCAACGAGCTATGGAAAGAGCAATGCTTGGTGTATCTCTACTAACAAATCAGGCAATCAATGCTTTTCAAACGAACGATTGAGCAGACAATTGCATTGAAGCAGCCAATTTCACGGGATTCCAAAATGTGAAACATTCGAATTTGCTAACAAATCAGGGAATCAATGCTTTTCAAACGAACGATTGAGCAGAAGAGACAAGATACCCAATACAGTTATAAAACAGCGTACACGAATAACAGATGCTGTATATCTGTTTAAAAAACTCAAATGGAACTGGGCTGGGCATATTGCTAGAAGAACGGACGATAGATGGACCAAGCTAATACTAGAATGGCGGTCAAGACAGGATGCTCTCAGAAACAGAGGCAAACCTCCGACAAGATGGTCAGATCACTTAGCCGATCACAATAGATTTAGGGAAAACTGGATCCAAGTGGCACAGGACCGAGAAGAGTGGAAATATTTGAGGGAGGCCTACGTCCAGCAGTGGACACTTCAGGCTGGTTGATGATTGCTAAAGATTCACAAGATACCTGGTATGTGGAATGTGAATGCTATGAGTCGTAAGAGTCAAAACTTCCTCTAAATGTACAGGGTGGATCAAATTCGACGCTTTTAAATGGAAACACTCTTTTCTATAGGAGATAGACGAAAACTAATATCGGTGTCTGGAGCTCAATTTTCATCAAAAACATGATGTTAAAAACCGCACATCAATATCTGTTACCGTTTCGGAGTTACGGTTTTTTTTTCAAAAATGTGCATTTTTAAGAAATCGCTGTAACTTTTTTACTATGGAAACTTTTGTATTTCTATGAAAACATTTCCAAAACACCTTTTTACGTAGAATTTAATGGTTTAAGTATAATTTTTTTAAAATTAATAATTTAAGAGTTATCAACAGAAAAAATGATTTTTTTATTTGGGACACCCTCTATATTTTTAATTAACTGAAAATAATTTAAAATTACCTTTCCAAAAATATAGCACAATTGATATTTTGTTATAATCCACTTCGAAATACAGAATTTTTAAAAGTTCGCCATTTTAACTAGTAAGCTTTGGACCCCTTATTGATGATATGCCCTTAATGGAACTCGAAAACATATTTTTCCAGCAAGACGACGCACCGCCTCTGAACGCTGAAGTTATCAGCAAATTTTTGCAGCCAATTTCAAGAATAATTGAATAGCTAACCAAGATCCCAGCCGTTGGCCGTCGGGGCCGCCTGACTTAGTGCTCATGGATCTAATCCTATGGATATATATGCGCAAGAATAAAGGTTCCTTTTTCTTCCGTATAATCTAGACAAGAATTAGAAATACTTAGCAGTTATAAGAGGGTATCCCCTACTGAGTTAATAAATTCCGCGAGAAATGTTCAAAAACTGCCCCGTCTGTCCATAACAATAGACGGTCGATATGTCGAACACCTGTAGCAAAATATCATGTCTTGGTTTGCTATTTATTTTTATTGTTATTAGATATAGCTTAAATGTATCGATATTGGTTAAATACATTTTAAATTGTTATAAAATTCTGCATCTCTCCTAGCAAATATTATTTTCGTTTTAATTGATGCTCACAGCGAGAATTTTTTTGCATCACAGCCAGTGCCGTCAAAGCCTACTTATTTAAAGCGGGCGAATTTTTATATACTCTATATCTCGAAGAGGAATCGAGCAAAATATCAAGTGTGTTATATTTTTGGAAAGGTAATTTTAAATTCTTTTCAATAAATTAAAAATATACAGGGTGTCCCATATAAAAAATAAAATTTTCTGTTGATAATTCTTAAATTATTAATTTAAAAAAAATATCCTTAAACCATTAAATTCTACGTAAAAAGGTGCTTTGGAAATGTTTTCATAGAAATACAAAATTTTCCATAGCAAAAAAGTTACAGCGGTTTGTTAAAAATGCATTTTTTTAAAAACACCCCGTAACTCCGAAACGGTAACACATATCGATATGCGGTTTTCACCATCATGTTTTTGACAAAAATTGAGCTCCAGACACCGATATTAGTTTTTGTCTATCTCCTATAGAAAAGGGTATTTCCATTTAAAAGTGTCGAATTTGATCCACCCTGTACAGGGTGTCCCATTTTCGTGTGTTTTATAGGGTTTTTCGTTTTTCGATTATGAGTAGAGATTCAAAGATGCAGTTTCCACATCACTGTACTACCTTTTTATCAAACTAAAGATTTGTCCAAACTCCCATGGTTTTTGAAATACAGGGCGAATTTCTAAATCAAAAAAACTTAGTGGCGTAACTAGATTTTCAGCTCTGGAAGCTGTAATTAAAAATTAAACTTATGTTTTTTTTAAATGGAATCATCAAATATCAATAACTTGGGTGTTAGCTAAAAGCTGCACGAGTTCATTTAAAACTGCACCGGTCATCAATAGATAAGCGTCATGTGTGAATGGCTTGCTCTTGTAGATAAGCTCAGTAATTTTAGAATAATATAAAAAACATGACGGAAAGCAAAATTTATCCGGTTAAATTAAATAAAATAAAATAATATTACTTTTTTAAACTAGGTTGATTGATGTTAAAAAGTTAAATAAAGATTTTTTTTTACTTTATTTATGAATGAGTATACAGGGTGTTCCAGAAATAAGTGCAAGTATTTTAACTGGTTGTATAGTTCAGCCCCAGAAACACGCCTATGAGGTTTTTTCGCGAACAAAAATTTGAAAGTTCGAAATTTTTTGAAAAATTTTTTCGAAATTTTTTTAGTTACAAAACATAATTTCTTGATAATATAGCAACATAGGTATTAGATTAAATTTACAAGAAAAAAAATCCAGAAAAGATCCAGTGGTTCTCAAAATTTTAGCAAAAATCATTTTTTTTTTGGAAATTTTCAGAGTAAAATAACTCTGTTATTTTGGACTTACTTGAAAAACGATAAAGAGAAAATATGTTTCTTTTATCGAGATCTACCACCTTTTAACTGCACCCTGTATGAGTGTCATAAATATATATTTTTAGAAAGCTCATATTAAGACAAATAGAATAAAAATAATATGCAGGGTGTTCCATTAAAAAAAAACATACATAAAGAGATGAAACAATAAAGTCAGTCCAAAAAAATCCTTTATGGGTATTTCATCACTGCACTGCAAGAGAATAAAACACAAACTCTACAAAATAAAATAGTTATTTTTTTTGTAAACATTTCTGCGTTAAACCTAAACGGACACTGCTTGTCAGAAGTTATGTTTACAGTTATACAAATTTGCCTAACAAAGAAAAAAATGCTTAACGTTTCGGAAAGTCTATCTCTTTCCGTTGTCGGACGCAAACAAAAAAAATGTCTAAAAGAACGTCAACGGTTTCTTGTAGACGTATCTGTTTTAATAAAACTAAAGTGTTCTCATAATAGTTTGAATTTAAATATTTTAAATAGTTTTTTCTTTATTATTTGTTTTTTTTGCTTCCGACGACGGAAAGAGATAGACTTTCTGAAACGTTAAGCATTTTTTTCTTTGTTAGGCAAATTTGTATAACTGTAAACATAACTTCTGACAAGCAGTGTCAGTTTAGGTTTAACGCAGAAGTGTTTACAAAAAAATAACTATTTTATTTTGTAGATTTTCTTGCAGTGCAGTGACGAAATACCCATAAAGGATTTTTTTGGATGAATCCGCCACATAGGTATAGATATTTTTTAATAAAGAGGTACTCGATCACATTTGACACAAGCACCATAAAGTGATTACAAGCTCGAGATCTCTACAAAAAACCTCACTGGATAAAACGTAATTATGAAGTAACCATTTTTATATCAAGCAACAATAACATACTTAGCAATTCAAGTATGGAAATTTCCAGAATAGAGAAAGTACGAATGTTGGCATTATCAGTGGAAAACCTCATGCTTGATTGTAGCTGTCCAGTCTATAGCTCAATCTGTCCTGGAGGAATGACTTTCTTTATGGACGGAGATAAAATCGTCAGTAATAATACATCTTACAGAAACATTGTGTAAATTAAATTAATTAAAGACATTGAAACTACGAAATTCTTTTAGTATCAGTCATTATCCACCACATTCAAAGAAAAATAATATATTTTGTTTGACTTTAGTAATTAATTAAATTCTATTCTGTTTCTCCAATAAGAATTTAGCGTTTTATGACTACATTTTTATTTATTTTCTGGAAAAACATCGATCTAAAAATTCCGCTCCTATCAATTTCATCTAATCTCTGCCAATTCTTTTATGTATCTGCTGGTGCTTCAACAAATGTGCTTTCTGTCTAAAGGCCTTCGCGCAAGTGTCGCATCGGAACGGCTTCTCGCCCGTGTGCGTTCTCAGATGAACCTTGATATTGCTCTTGTTCAGGAACCCTCGATTACAAATACTACACCTATGTACAGGTTTCTCTTTACCCAACAGCCCCAGCGTCTGATCGGTGGAGAACACCGCGGCATTCGCCGCAGCCTGTTGCTTTTTCTGCGCCCTCCGCGACTTCTTCGTCGTACTGGGCGTCGTGGTCGTCGTGTGAGGATAGTTCTGCCCCAGCAGTTCCGGACTTCGTATCCTGTGATCGTCGTGCATTGTGTGCACGCTGTACTGGGGCATAAATCTCCCGTTCACCGTTAAGAGAAGATTGTCCGTCGTTGAAACAACGTTTGCCGGTGGACTGGACGTCGTGATTAGTTCTGCACTGTAATTCGTCGAACTGGGGGTTTCTTGTTTAACTGGAGGTCCGTTTTGGAGCCTGTACTGCAGTAACGGCATGTTCCCGTGAGTGAGGAGACTTTGCAAAGTCGAACCGCCTTGAGGGGATTGTGCTTTGTTATTGTACTCGTTTATCGATTGAGACTTGGTGTAATCGTTACTGTTGTTCGGAATGAGGAACTCTGAAATGCCGTCCTGGCTGATGACGACGCTTTTTTGCTGGTCGCTGCACGCCCTGCTGATCCACGCATCCAGGTCCATCCAGCTGTCCCTGGAGGCGTTGGGATCGTCATCGTCCGTATTGTTGTTAGGAACGGTGGTGTCGGCTATGGCCGATCCGATGATCGCGGCGATGTCATCGATCGATGAAATGTCGTACTCGGAGATCTCGGTCTTGATTTGCGTGGCCGAGTCTACCGTCGAGTGGCCGCAGTCCTCGTATTTGATCGCGCTAGAAACCGAATCGGCGCTGACACAGTCCGCGTAACCCAATTTCACCACTTCGTCCACCGAATACAAACTCTTCTCTCCGGCCGAGTCCGCGTTTATATTGCAAGTCGAACTAGAAACGATGTTTTGTTCGCTGTAATTGCTGTAATTGTTATTCTCCTCGGGAATCCTTTGCGATATCGTGTGGTAGTGATGCCCTTGAATGCCGTTGATGCTCAGGTTGGCCGTGTAGCCCGTGAAAGGCGGCAGGGGTTTCAATTCGGCCAGACTGAGGCGTCTGCGACGAGCTGAGCAGGAGGTTGTCCAGCGCTTCCATCGTCGATTTAGTTTCGATTTCCGCTTCATCTTGGATGGAGGAGTCTAGTAGGAGTTTGTCGGAACCGAGATTGCTGATGGTGTTCTCTAGAATGAGCTTGTTGGTGTCGATGAAGGTGTCGTTCGAGTTTTGCCAGCACGGTGACGTGAACATGGAATCGACCTCGTCCACTGAATTGCTGCCGCTAACTGCCATGTTGCATCCAGATAGGTTGGGATATTTCATTGTTTTCATTCGGCGCGCTGGTTGTCTGTCTTTGTCGATGGCGGCGTTTCTTTAATGTCACCTCACCATTTTGTTCTGAAACAAATAAAAAAAAATAATTAAAAAAAGATATTGTGAAATAAAATACAAAAAAAACAACGCTTTATTGTACAAAAAGCCAAAACAGCTTCATCGACAAAGCATTCACAAAAACAAATATACAAATAATAAAAAATACTCATGCAATACAAATTAATTCAAAAAAAATTACGTCATTAAAATTACAAATAAAACATACGTGGACATTGCAGAACACAGGCGTATCAAGAAAATTTTACAAAAGGAAAACTGTAAATGGATAAAATCATGTTATATATCATAAAATCAAGAGTTATAAAATATTAAATATTAAATACTAGACCTTTAACCAGTGTGTGAGATGATCAAAATTTTAAAACATCAACATCAATAAAAAAGTCGTTTACCGCATATAGGGCTCTCTCCAGAAAGCATGATTTCAGAGCGTTGCGAAATGCGTAAAAGAATGAAAGTGACTTGATATTCAAAGGCAAATGATTGTACATTTTCTTGGCATTGTACAGTATTGAGCCCTTAACTAGTTCTGAGCTCGGGGTTGGCAGATAAATATCGTGCTTCGCATTCCTAAGTGGATAGTTGTGAGAAGGCCTTTCCGGAATAGCAGATATGTGCTTGCGGATTAAGCAAACGGATGCAAAAATGAATAAGGAAGGAAGAATCAGTATTTTGAAATTTTTAAAGAAATTCTGGCAGTGAGTTCTACTCTTTAGTCCCAATAAGTATGGAACTGCTCTCTTTTAAAGTTTGAAAATACGATCAAATTTTGTCGCGCAGCAAGTACCCCAGAATGGAAGGGTATAACGAAGATGCAACTCAAAAAGGGCATAATAGACCATTCTAGAGGTTGATGAGTTAAGTTCCTTAGAAACTGATCTTAGTGCAAAACAGGCAGCGCTTAGTTTCTTTGATAAAGCTTCGATGTGCAAGTCCCATTTTAACCAGTTGTCTACAACAAGTCCTAAAAATTTTACAGAGTCCACGACGTCAAAAGTGGTGTTATTAAGTACAAAAGGTTGTATAGTACTTTTATAAAATTTTACAAAACTTTAGTTTTTGAAACGTTGAGGCATAGGAGATTCGAATCGCGCCAAGATTTAATGGTGCGTAAGTTACTGGATATAGTATTATATAGTACCGTAACATCTGGGCCGCTCCAAGTGAAACTAATATCGTCCGCAAAGAGGCAGATTTTACAGCTAATGTCTAGATTTGCAATGAAACAAAATAGGGTCAAGTACTGAACCCTGAGGGACACCACATTATATAGGCTAACAAGAAGACATAGACGTATCAATCCTCACAAGCTGCCTTCTGTTGCTAAGATATGACTTAAGCCATTCGGGCGGCACTCCCCTGAATCCATAGTATTGCAATTTGTTAATTAAGATATTATGATTTACACAGTCGAAAGCCTTAGAGAAATCACAAATTAAATTTTTTAGTAATCGCACCTCGGGTAAATTTTAATGCCACATTTGTTAATTAGAATGAATTTTTATGAGTCACTGTCAATTTTCGTACTAATACGAATCAGTGTATTCAATGTAACCGCCGCGCCGCGCCGCGTCTAAAGTAATATAAAAAGTTTTTATCTCTATCGCCTGTTGATCTCTCCAATAAATCGATACTAAATTGTGAATTTACTGTCATTTCCTAATATTCAGAATCAATTTTCCATGTTGTATCAATATCAACTCATTGTATATGCTACGGCTAAAATGGATACTTGGCTAGTTTCAAACTAGCCAAGTATAGGATATAGGATACTTGGCTCTTCAAACTAGCTAGCTATTTTGCAAAAATCACTGTTATTTTGAGGGTTAGGTGTTAGTTTGTAGTGTTGTTTGTGCTGTTTGTTTGCAAAATAGCTGGCTAGTTTGAAAACTAGCCAAGTATCCATTTTAGCCATATAACATAAAATAATCTTTATGTTATTTAATTCGAAAATTTAAGGGTCTAGATACTACACCGATATAAAATTTATTGCGTTCACATGATATTTTGTGTATTACATTTTTTGTTTGTTGTTCAGTATTCATTGCTTTAGTGTATGTTAAAATGGATCTAAGTGTATTTTGTGTTTTGAAAGATGTTCGTATGTTATATTGCTTTTCTATCCTTCTTATTTTTCCGAAACGCCTCGTATGTATGGAATTGTAAGTTGTATATATTGTGTATTGTTATCATTGTGTGTATTCTGTCTATGATTTGGGGTTTGTATTTCGTTTAATGTTTGGTAATAAAAGATGGTGGAAAAATTCTTTTTAATAATATATTTTTTATATCTCTAGTGAATTGTCGTCTGAACATAATATTATTTTTGTCCTATCATATAAACTTTTTATAACACTTTTTTTACACTTATACTGTGATTAGATGTCAAATTTAAAGATCTGTCTGTATATTTGTGGGTTTTTTGTAAACATCTAAAATTAGTTTATTTTGAAAGTTTGACACTAAAACATCAAGAAATGACAAACGGTTAGGTTTTTTAGTTGGTTCGCGAGAATTTATATAATCCAAAAAAATGTATATTTCAGATGTTGCCATATTGCACAAATATCATCAACATAACGCAACCATATTACAGGTTGAAAAACTATTTATTGTATCATTTTAAAAATTTTCGATATAAATATTACTTAGCAAAAGGAATCTTTTATCTGGAATCTCCTTCACAAGATACGCGGTTAACGCAGATAACGTGTCAAAAAAAATAAAACAGAACCGTCTGTCGGGCAAAACGGCGCGGCAAAATTGGAGTAGGCCACGAGAAATGAGTTCGTTAAGTTCGCTTTCGGTTAACGGGTTCGGAACGAGGCGACCAGTACGAATCGATGACGTAGCATCGGGTACCGCTGTCCATCGACCGGTGATGCCACTTCTACCAATTTTTCGGTAGATCTAGACGTAAGAAAAACAAAGAAATAAAAGAGAAGGATGACAAAATTAAGAAACAGCAAGCTGAACTGAATAAATACCGGAAGAAAGTCAGCAAATTGCGTAAGAAGAAAAACGAGGGGTGTCTCACTTCGGCAAAAAATGTACATGTACTGCCAAAATATCATTCTATTTCCAAGCGACTGCCAATGACTGCGTAGAAGACTGCCTATGACTGCCATGTAATTATTATAGGCGACTGCCATAAGACTGCCAATGACTGCCAGCGACTGCCAAGAAAATGTACATGTAATTCCAACAGTGAGACACCCCTCGAAGAAAAATAATCTTAAGAAACTACTAACTCCAAACTCGAAAATGTCTCAGGTGGCTGATGACCCAACAACTCGAACTGAAGTAGTGAAAAAAGCATTATTTGTATAAAACAGTTAACAGAAAATCTAAATATCTTAAGACAAGACAAGAGAAAGGAATTTCAATTTAAAATATGTAAAAAAACAAAATAAATTATGCGTGTCCAAGCGTTATAGCAACAAATATTGTAATATTTGAGGGGCGTTTTCACCCTCTTGGAATTTGAGATTCGGGAAACCCCTCCTTATCGAACCTCTACACCCCGCAATCAATCCATTTGCAAAAAATCAGCTTTAAACGTCAAGCAGTTTAAGCAGAATCGTGATTACTCAATGGTCATATTTTATAAAACACCCTGTATAAATTTTTAAAAAATCTTAAAATATGTAAACAACAAAATAAAATATACGTGTTTAATAGTTTTTCCAAAAAACTCACCGGTTTTTATATAAAAAATATTCTCATATTTGAGGAATGGTTTCACTCCCTTAGAATTCGAGTTTCGAAAAATCCCTTCTTATCGAACCTCTACACCCTAAAGTCAATCCGTTTTCCAAAAAATCAGCTTTTTACGTCAAGCGCTTTAAGCAGGATCGTGATTAATCAATGACCAGATTTTTCGAAACACCCTGTAAAAATTTTTAAAAAATCTTAAAATATGTAAAAAAACAAAATAAAATATACGTGTTTAAGCGTTTTTTCGGAAACTTGACCGTTTTTTAAAGAAAAAATATTGTAATATTTGAGGGGTGGTTTCACCCTCTTGGAATTGGAATTTCGAAAAATCCCTTCTCATCGAACCTCTACACCCTAGAATCAACCTGTATGTCAAAATTGAGCTTCTTACGTTGAGTGGTTTGAGCAGGATCGTGATTAATCAGTGAGTCAGTCACTTAAGGATTTTATATATTAGTGTATAGATTTTCCCAAGTTTCCTTTTTTCATACTGAAATATATAAAAAGCAAAGAGTTTCAAATAGTATTTTTCTAATTAGATATTCTAAACCAACATCTAAATTTATGAATAATACCATCACTTAAAGTAATCATCATTTAATTTTTACTGCTAGCTAAGAACGACATTAATAAACTTTTAACTTAAGTACCCCTAATGAGACTGTAAAACGGAACTAAGTAAAAATGAACATTAGCGCGCAAAGAGTATACCGAGCGCTCGGCGCGCCGGCAGCGGCACCGGTGCAAATCCACTTAATTGCCTGCCATTAAGAATCTATAATAAACAAATGTTATTAGAAGAGAAAGTAGCCACGTGACACGTCAAGTCGATTCAAACCGATGCCTGACCTAGAATACAGAAATGCTTCGCGTCACCGTTTTTTTTCTGCGTTTTTACGCGAACATCGCCCCAGTCTATTTGAGTGAGCAATTGTTAAAAGAGACGCACGCTGCATTTTGACCTTTTGTCTGTGCTCTTTCACTTATAATCTATGCAGACAATAAACTAGTTATTATTATAAATAGGTATTTTATAGTTTTCTTAAGATCTCAGACAAATTTAATATAAACATTAATGTGCACCAAAAGAAATATATTTTTTTTCTTTTAAGTTACCGTGAAAATATCGTTTGTAGCATTGGTATACAAAACTAGAGCAACGTACAGCAAGGCAAAACCTGTGCAAAGTACAGAGACTGGCATGTATCTGCATCACAAGTGCCATGAGAACATGTCCAACAGCAGCAATGGAGGTCATTCTAGAC